AGAGTCTGGGTTCGATTCTGATCAAGAGCATGTACCTAAGTTACAGGCTTTTCCCTGGCTGGGGCCCAGGTCAGGGCTCATGCAGGAGGCAATCAACCAATGTGTCCCTCTCACACTGATGTTTTTCTCTCTCTCCCTCTCTCTCTCTTTCTTTCACATTCTCTAAAAATCAATGGAAATATATCCTCAGGTGAGGAGAAAAAGAAAGAAAGAAAGAAAGAAAGAAAGAAGAAAGAAAGAAAGAAAGAAAGAAAGAAAGAAAGAAAGAAAGAAAGAAAGAAAGAAAGAAAGAAAGAAAGAAAGAAAGAAAGAAAGAAAAGAAAGAAAGAAAGAGAAGGAAAGAAGAGAGAAAGAGAGAAAGAAAGAGAAAGAAAGAGAAAGGAAGAGAAAAGAAAGAGAAAGAAAGAAAGAAGAAAGAAGAAAGAAAGAAAGAAAGAAAGAAAGAAAGAAAGAAAGAAAGAAAAAGAAAGAGAGAGAGAGAGAGAGAGAGAGAGAGAGAGAGAGAGAGAGAGAGAGAGAGAGGGAGGGAGGGAGGAAGAAGGAAAGAAAGAAAGAAAGAAAATCCTATGAAAGACACATCTTGAAAATGCCTAAAGAAAGTTGTCATTTTTTCATGGTGAAGGGACTGTAGTTTGTGTGGATGAAAACACCTTGGTGGCTGCTGTGCCCGGCAGTGGCTGCAGCAGCAGAATAATGGGGCTGGCGCCTTCCCCTGATCCGCCTGGTCACCTCCCACAGAGAGGGGAGTGGGCCTAAGTCATCAGTAGGACATCCCCTGAGGCAACCCAGTCTGTGAGAGGGGGGAGCCTGGGATGAGGAGATACCCCCTCCCCAAAGTGCATAAATTTTGTGCACTGGGCCCCTAGTAGCAAGATAAAAGAAGTTAAATTCTCTTTGCTCCTCTATGCCAATACTTTTCTTCTAATATAATAAGGCCCTGGGTGTCTCTGAGCACTGTATTTAAAGCTTTTTGGTGGAGTGAACAGGGCAGGTGCACCTGGGAAACTTACCCTTCTAGATCTCTGCTTCTCCCCTTGCTGGGAGTGAGGGTGGAGGAAAGATAGCAAAGTTGCATAGGAATGCTCTCAAGGGAAGAGAGTATTGTGTGTGAATGTATCCACGTGTGAGCTGGTGAGGAGGGAGTGTTGTAAAAACTTTCGGGAGATTCTGATAAACACCCGTCTTTCTTCTGATATTAAATCGCTGCCTGCAGTTGAGCAAGTAAGCGTCACAGGAGTGATGGTGGGGCTCACGATGTAAGAGTTGTTCTGAAAGATGATAAATGCAGGAAGCAGGCTCCCGTGGTGGAATGGAGGCAAAAATCATCGCAGTAAAAGCCGGGGAAAGGTGAAGCTGGGATGTGGATGCGTCCACCACGGGATGGCTGAGGCTTTGTGTTTCTCTATCACCCTCAGCACTTTCTCAAGCACCTGAAGTGCGTGCGTTCAATAAACACTCTTTGTAGGCTGCACGTTTCAGAAAAATGCATTACTTTTAATATCAATCATATGAGCATGCAACACTGCTAAATACAAAAGTCATACAAGCTCACACATGACTTCAGAGGCTGCCACTTGCAATTAAAGTACAATTGAGGGCCCATGGAGATCCCACAAATCATAGACCCTTTCCCGTTTTCACTCCTTGACTGTACATTTTCTCCCTATCATGAGAGGTGTCACAAAGCATTGCTATCCGCAGGCAGTTACATTTCTTGACTTTATGTCGCTTCTCTGGAGAGAAATAGCAGTGTCATTCGTCCTCTAAAACGGTGCGTTTCCACGGGGTCTGAGGAAGACTGGAGGGTAGGGCACTGCCATGTGCAGCTCTGGGGGTATTGCCCCCAAAGTGAAGGGTACCTGTTATCTGTGGGTAAAAACATTTCCATGAATTATGATAACTACATGCTGGCTTAGGGGGTTCACTATCGATAAAAGTTAAATTGAGTGAGTTCACACTTGTTGCAAATGGATCAAAAACCTGAAACTGTCATATTTCTAGGTAAACAAAATGGGTAGCATGGGACATAAAAAATATGTAAATTTATAGACTACATGCCAGAAAAATAACTTTTGGGAAGTATGACAGGAAAAAAAAGTGCTCATTAAATTTCTTTGTTTAAAAATACACTTTCCATGATTTAGACACATCTCTGTCATTACTCACATAGGTCACCTCGAGGAGAGCAATTCCCCTTCCTGGAACTCAGTTTCCTTTTCTAAAATGTGGAGGTCAACTCGTTCCTATCTGGAAACACATGCCTTGTTGGTGGCTTTGTTTTGTCACTGTGATGGGGAAAGCTCCTTCTAGACCAGTGGTTCTCAACCTGTCTAATGCTAAGACCCTTTAATACAGTTCCTCATGCTGTGGTGACCCCCAACCATAAAATTATTTTTGTTGCTGCTTCATAACTGTAATTTTGCTACTGTTAATGAGTTGTAGACAGACAAAGATAGGTGCAGATCCTAATCTCATCATTTATAGCTTCTTAAGCTTTGAAAAGTTGTATCTCATTTCCCCCTTATTTTGCTAATCTGTGAGATGGGATAACACTACCTCTTACATTGAATTGTTTGAGGATTAGATAGAAGAATATGTGCTGGGAAGCATATTGGTTAGTTTATAGGCATTCACTGTGTATTATCAACCAGTGGCTTCCTACCCTTTCCTTCTCTCCTTAAAAAAATGCAGTTCCTTGTGTATTATTGACTTGCACATCAAAGATATTATAATAAAATCAAAGATACTATGAACTTTTGCTGAGTAACATGTGTAAAGGAGATGTATTGGAAAGTGGATTTTTATCTTTCATCTTGGGAATGCCTCTGGTTTTGAATGCAGCAGACAAAGTGGCAGTGAGAGGTCAAATTAATTCAAAAGCTCCATATGACTTCACAGGTCAGCACTATTATATATTCAAAGACAGGCAGAACGCCACATGCATTAATTATAGTGTATCACATAGGAATATCAATCCCCCATAAATACTCAGCACTAGTCCTAATCTTTACAAAATCACACAACATCAGTGTGGGATTCCACAACTTGAGGGGGGAAGAGAATCTAACCTAGAATCACAAGAAAACTAAGGGGATAGTAAAATGAGGATATTGAAAAATGGTTTTTATGGGTTGGGTGGTTTAAATGGATACCAATGACCATCTAAAACAGCCTCAAGAACCTCTTTCCCACTTGAAGGCCAATCACAGGTAGATTTGTTTGAGTTTTAAGTGGACATTTTGGGTCCTAATGGTTTAGATAGAAGAAAGTTCTCTGAAAGCTCATTGTTCGGCTATTTTCTGAGAAATTCACACTATTAACATTTTTTTCTAGAAATATATGCCTGAGGACCAAACAATACCCATGCCTTTCTCCCTCTCCTTTGAAGAGGACTGTTAGCGGGTGGGAGGATGAGGACAGGCTTAACTTTCCATCCTGCTTGCAAATACAAAGGAAGGCTGCATTCCTGATGTATCCATAGAGTTACCTGTTGAAATGCTGTCTAGCCCTCTTCACATGGGACTGTACTGAGATCTCAAGGACAGGTACGTGGACTCATTATCATAAAGGGCTTCCCTGTTGTCCAGTAACTCATGAGCCAATCGCATATTACAGGGTCCTTATTTATTACCACTGACAAATGATGTCATAATACTGACCAGAGGGACTACACTGCTCAGAGAAGCTTCCCAAATAAGAACCATGATGTCAAAACACGGCTGAGGCCATCAACAGTATTAATGAGGGTTTTGTTAGCTTCTAATGATGATGATGATGATTATATCAGAATGCAATTCACACTAGTTATTAGTAAAAGTTTAGAAACATTAAAAAGTGCATAATAACATCTGGATCTGATAGGGCTGAGTAAAAAGACAAGAAAACCACAACACGAGGGCTTTACTTTTGTGATTGGTGTCCACGTGATTGCAAGGAGATCATTTTCTCCATCTTTCTCATCTCCCTGGAGATAAGCTGTCTTCAATAGTTTAACAGTAGCATACAGCACTGTGAGAAATTTGATTCCATAAGAATAAAACATTACCAGATGTTAGCATTATCCTGGTTTCTCTTTCTCACCTTCCTCATTCTCCAAAATCCTCACAATTATAAATAAAAGTATTAGTTGGGGAAAAGTACTGCACTTGGGAATAAAACAAAATTTGTAGATTGAATTCTGGTCTGTGCAGACACCAAACAAACTCAATTCAGGTAATATTCACATTAATGGATATTTTCCAAATTCTGGCCTCATAAAAGCAAAGGCGTCCTGATAAATCTGTTATAGTCTTCATCGATTCATCAGCAGTGAATCAAGGGGAAAGTCTACTTTTAAAAAGGAAAGTGTGCTCTATCCTGTGTACACCACTACACCATGGAGAAGAAAAGAAGGCAGCCCTTTTAAAAACGAGTGGTATAAAAATTCACAGTAACGTACATTGTTTTTTGTTTTTCATGAGCAATCAAAGAAGGGGGCAGTGCCGAGCATCTATATTATACAATACAAAACAGTGTAAGTCACACGGCAGGAACACACGGACACAAGTTGCTAAAAAACAGTGCTTTCTGGGTAGTTCTCTTACTGAGTGAATACTTGGGCCAGAGACACTTAAACTCTGGGATCAACCAACCCTTTGCAATTAGACACAATTAAATCCTCTGACACTGTGAGGGGCCAGATGCTATGGGGAGGATCATCACGTAGGTTGCTGCTACCGTCTACAAGCATTTCGTCATGTGGTCAAGTGCACGGAATCCGTACGTGGTGACATCCAGACACAAGCCACGCGACTTCAGCCATTGCTAAGGACAGAGGTGGAGAAAGGTCTGTCTGCGGCCAGAGCCTCTGCCCCCATGTCTAACGGGACAGCGAGCAGATCCCTGCCGGGCGGCACAGCCATTCCCTTTCTCCCCTCGTCCCTCCTGGACACAAATGCATTCCAGCCAGGCCAGGGGACCTGAGACATCGTCAGGCTGAGGAAGATCAGCGTGGGGTGTGGTTAGCTTTGGGGTTTGGACGCTTCCCCCTCAGCTTCCCCACTCTGTTCTGTGGAACTCCGCTGGGCATCCTTTTCACCTTCTGAAAGAGACAAGGGGACAAAGGATGAAGACAAAATAAAAGTCATCGCTGACATTTACCCACTCTCCACATAGGCATATTATACTGGGAATTTAAGAAATATTCCAGACTTTTCCTCATAGGAAAAGTGTGTTTTCTTGGTAATTAATTATCCATCAAAAAAATAGTTTAAGTGGGCTGGCTAATTCTGGTTCTGTGATCTTGGTACAGCCTGGCTCAAAAACAAAATAACTGAATTTTCACAGTGGTTAAGTGACCTTGTGGGCCTTTGGTGAGTAACTAGGAAATCTCACACCCAAGTCCTGGTGCTCATTTTTAAAAAAGATTTGGCCGGGGGGCGGGGGGGGGGGGGTAGGGGGCTGGGGGGCAGAAGTCACAAGTGTCTTTAGGCTGAAATCAGAAGTGGGGAGCAAGTTTCCCCTTTTTATTCCCGACTTTCTTAATTTAAGACTTATTATGCATTTTACATCACTTATAGCACTTGATGATAACCCCCGCTGGTTTCTCAGAGGATTCATTACTTTACATTAAAAGCAATAGTGGCAAATGAAGTGGTCAGTCCCTTGTCACACAGCAGTGATGGCTCGGCCTGCCCTTGGAGAGCACACACAGAGCTCCGATAGAACCATCCTCCTCACAGCACTCTCTGCAGCCTTTCCAGCTAGTGATGCTGCAAACACTGAAACCAAGCTAGGCTTTCTCTCCATACAGGTCACTTCACCTGAGGGCAAGCTGAGGAATCCTTGATTCAAAGATACATATATTTGCTTGTGGTAGTTCATTACTAAGCAACCAATATGACTTCATAGACAAAATATTTGGGGATATTGCAATCATCTACAAAATATTTGGGGATATTGCAATAATAAAAGCATAATATGCTAATTAGACCAGGTATCCTTACAGACAACCTTCTGGATGAAGCCGGGGAAGGGAGGGAAGCCTGGGTCCTGGGTGCCAGAGGGAAGCTGGGGCCGGCAGCCAGGGGAAGGAAGGCCTATTCTTGCACAAATTTCATACATTGGGCCTCTAGTGTAAATTAGAAAAATGTTTGCTAAGAGTTTGTTATCATAATTCAAAGGGTTAGAGGTAAGTGAGCTGGTCCATTCTTGAGGTGGAAATGTTGAAAAGTGAATTCTACTTTAGTCTTAATAAGTACACACAAAACATCTCACCGTATACCATACTTTAAGGAAATTAAAAGTAGTTCTTTTACATTAAAAAATAATTTCATTCTAAAGGGGTCCCAAGAACAGTATATATCATTCTCATACACTACTTTCATTATAAAGCAATGACTAGGCACCCAGATGTGCAGATGTCCTGAAACTAAGATGTGCAGATTAGCATGCAACAAGAACTTGATAAAAAGGAGTTCTTGGTAACCAAATGAATGAAGTCAAATTAGGGCAGTTGCAAGAAAGTAGAATATTTAAAGATGAAACTTGTTCCATACTAGGTGTGCCAGTTAATAATGTGATTTTGTAATCAAAGAAAACATAATTTCAAGAGAAACATCTAAAGTGCTTTATTCAAAGTAATGTCCATTGCTAGCTACACATTTCCCCATCTTTCAGGTAATTTGTAGATACCGTCCCAGTAGAACTTTTCTTATTTTAAGGCAAACCATTCAGAGACCCAATTTTCCACTTCTTCTTACATTTTGAAGTGCTGCTCACAAGTGCATGTGCCATCAATCGGAACAGGTGGTAATCTGAAGGAGCAAAGTCTGATGAATATGGCAGGTGTGTTAATAGTTCCCAGCAAGATCTTTTAATGTGTCTTTAACTGGTTTTGAAGTGTGATGATGAGTCATCATGAAGCAAAATTACTTTGCCATGTCTTCTGGCACATTCTGGTCATTCCACAATCAAAGCATGGTTCAAATTGATTATTTGTTGTCAATAGTGATTAGTATTAATGGTTTCACCTGGTTTTAGAAGCTCATAATACACCCCACCTTCCTGATCCCACCAAACACAGAGCATTGTCTTCTTTCCGAAGCCATTTGGCCTTGCAGTTGATGTTGATGGTTGACCTGGATCAATCCATGATTTTGTACATTTGGGATTCTCAAAATAAATCCACTTTTCATCACTAGTCACAATTTGATGCAAAAAAGATCTTTTTGTGCCGTTGAAGCAACATTTTACTGATAACTTTTCTGTTTTCCATTTGTCTTTCCTTCAGTTGATGTGGCACCCATTTTCCTTCCTTTAAAATTTTTCCATTGCTTGTAAATGTTCGAAATTGTTTGCTGAGCAAGGTTTAATCTTCCTGCAAGTTGTTTTTCAGTTTGACATGATTCTTCATGCAATAATGATTGTAATTGTTGATCTTCAAACTTTTTCGGTTGACCTGGACATTCTTTGTCTTTCACACCGAAATCACCTTTAAAGTGGTTAAATCAGCGTTCACAAGTATCTTGAGATGGAGCATGTTCACCATAAGCTTCCCAAAGTATTCAGCAGCACTTTACTTCAAAATAAAGTAATGAATTAAAACTTCCCACAAATGCTCTTTTTTGGCACGAAATTTGACATTTTTAAGCATAAAAAATATCTATGATGTTAACAACTTCAGAAAATTTGGCATATGAAGTTTTTAAGTTTGCTGTCAACACAACAAAATAGTGTACATATCAAATCAAATATATATATATATCAAATCCATCTATTGAAAAAAATCTGCATTATTAATTGGTACACCTAGTAAATACAAGATGAGGAATTTGACCCCCATAGTGTTTGGGACTTCCTAGTGATTTATTCTAGAGTTTCTGGAGACAATTCTCTGGGTTTAGCATAATGCTATAAATGGCTAAGTAGGTGATTGTTAACAAGTTAAGGTAAACATGGGGTAGCAATAATGTTGAGTGTAAACTAAAAGAAGCTGAAATACTTAAGAATTACAGTTCTTAGCTGGTGATATTTTGTTTGCCAGGATATAGTTGTTATTATTGTAGAGCATTTGAATGGGAAATCCTGTAAAGAGAAGTCATTGAAAATGGAGTGGGAATGAGAGATCATTCCCTGATTCTTATCCTGCATTAGACTCTTTACAACTCAATAGACTATTTTTGAAGGTGGATTGTCATGCCTTAATCTGTCTTGGTGAAAGCAGACATCATTCTATGTTCATAGAGAGATGCGTATCAAACAACTCACCTGTCTTGTTAATATCAAGTCCTGCTAATTTCAAGGCTAATTCATTGCTGTTACCACTTGCAGAGGAAACCAGGATATCATGTATTGCATTTCTTCTACCAGTTCTTCCTGAAGCAATAAAATCTGCATATGTAGTTTCCACATCAGTCATTGCTAACAAATATCCACATAGCAGGAACTAAAAAACAAAACACACACATAAATTAGTAGGTAAATATAATGTTGCAAGACACTTGATAAATTATGGCTTATAATATGAATGTGAAATAACTGTTTTGCTTACATGGCCACAAAGCAAGAAATGCTTTTCTTCTTGATCAAGGGTCAGGGAATGTTTTTGTAAAGGGCCTGATAGTAAATACTTTAGGCTTTGAGGGACATATGGTCTCTGTCCCAGCTACTCAACTCTGTGGTTATAGTGCAAAAGCAGTCGAAGATAAATGTTAAACAAATATTATAAACAACTGTATTTACAAAAATAAACATAGGGCCAGAATTGGTTCACATGCCATAGACAGTAGCCACTTGGTTTAAATCATAAAATTCTTCTCTAATGCCATGTCAGTCAGCTTTCAACTTCAGAGAAGAGAATTTGAGGTCAGTTGTATACCAAGGCGAGAGGGTTCAGGGGAGGTGGAAGTGGTCCATCCTAGAGATAAGAAGTAAGCTAGCACCTCATCTACAGAAAGTCTAAGAACAATAATAAAACTGAGCAAAATCCAGTTTTCTTTTTATCATCAGCAATGCTATGACAAGCAATTCTAAACAATGTCAGGAATCAAATACTGCCCCCAATAAAGGAGGACAGCACCCATGTGGCCCCTTGAAAAGCCATTGCTTAAGAGGAATAATAATCTTTCTTGACTGAATCTTTGAAATAAAATTTCAGCTTTACAAAGGAGTCAAAGTGAATTTTCTAGAACAAACTTGGTGATACACATCCTTAATAAAAGACATAATGAAAAGAATGGTAACAAATAAATACCTATCAATAATAACCTTAAATGTAAATGGCTTAAATGCACCAATCAAAAGACATAGGGTAGCTGAATGGATAAGAAAACATAACCCATATATGTACTGTCTTCAAGAGACCCACCTCAGAAAAAGGACTCACACAGAATGAAAGAGAAGAGATGAAAAAAAAATTTTTTCCCAAGCAAATGAAAATGAAAAAAGTTGGAAAGGCAATATTCATATCTGACAAAATAGACTTCAAACTGAAGGCCATAATAAGAGATAGTGAAGGATACTTCACAATAGTAAAAGGATCAACACAACAAGATGATATAACCCTGCTGCTAAACATATATGCACACAATACAGGCGTATCCAGATATATTTAAAAATTTTTGGAGGATTTAAAGGGAGAGATTGGTAGCAATACAATCATAGTAGAGAACTTTAATACTCCACTGAAATCACTGGATAGATCTAGACAAAAAATAAACAAGGAACCAGTGATCCTAAATGAAACACTAGATCAGATGGAATTAATCAACATTTTTAGAGCATTTTGCCCTAAAGCTACAGAATATACATTCTTCTCAAGTGCACATGGGATATTTTCAAAGATATACTACATGTTAGGACATAAAACAAGTTTCTACAAGTTCAAGAAGATTGAAATCATATCAAGCATCTTCTCAGGTCATAATGGCATGAAATTAGAAACACTCAGGAACATTCAAACACATGGAGACTAACACATGTTATTAAACAACTAGAGGCCTGGTGTAGGAATTCGTGCATGGAAGGGGCCTGGCCAGCAATTGAAGCCAATTGAGGCCGTCTTGCCCAGTTCCAGATCGGGGTCGATCGGAGTCAGCTGGGGGGAAGGACCGCCGAAGGTTGGCTGGCTGTGGGAGGTTGGTCATGGGAGCACACTAACCACAAGGTGGTAGCTCCTGCATTGAGCATCTATCCCCTGGTTGCTTTGCATGTCATAGCTACAGGTGGTTGTCCAGTCATTTGGCCATAACAGTCACTTAGGCTTTTATATATATGTGAATGGGTTACCGTAGAGGTCAAGAAAGAAATAAAAAATATCCTGGAAACAAATGAACATTAACACACAACAACCCAAAATCTATTGGACACAGTGGAAGCAGTTCTGAGAGGGAAGTTCATAACATAACCAGCCTACCTCCAAAAAACAAGAAAAACTTTTCATAAGCTACCTAACCCTACAACTTAAAGAACTATAAGAGAAAAAGAAGAAAAGCCCAGAGTAGGTAGAAGGAAGGAAATAATAAATATCAAAGTGGAAATAAATGACATAGAGACTAAAAAAAACAATACAAAAGATCAATAAAATCAAGAGCTGGTTCATCAAACAAGATTGATGAACCTCTAGCCAGACTCATCAACAAACAAAGACAGGGGACCCAAATAAACAAAATCAGAAATGACATGGGTGAAGTAACAACTGACCTCACAGAAATGCAAAGGCTTATTAAAAAAAATATTATAAACAACTATACTCCAACAAACTGGACAACCTAGATGAAATAGATATATTCCTAGAAAAATCCAATCTTCCAAAATTCAATCAAGAAAAAACAGAAAACTAAATTGGCCAATAACTACTGATAAAATTGAAGCAGCAATCAAAAATCTCCCAACAAACAAAATCCCTAGTCTGAATGGCTTCACAGGGGAGTTTTACAAAACATTCAAAGAAGAACTAACACCTATCCTCCTCAGACTATTACAAAAAAATTCAAGAAGAAAGAATACTTCCATATTCTTTTTATGAGGCCAGCATTATCCTAATTCCAAAACCAGATAAAGACATTACTAAGAAAGAGAATTGTAGGCCAATATCCCTGATGAACATAGATACTAAAATCCTCATTAGCAATACATTAAAAAAATCATACACCATGACCAAGTGGGATTTAGCCCAGGTATGCAAAGCTAGTACAATATTCACAAATAAATAAATGTGATACATCACATAAATAGATTAGAAGACAAAAATAATGTGATCATATCAATTGATGCAGAAAAAGCATTAAACAAAATCCAACACCTATTTTTTGATAAAAATTCTTAGCAAAATGGAAATAAAATGGTCATACAACAACAAAATTAAAGCCATAAATGACAAACCTACAGCCAACATCATACAATGGGAAAAACTAAAAACATTTCCCCTAAGAACAGGAACAAGACAGGGATGTCCAATTTTACCACTCTTACTCCCAGCCATAGCGATCAGACATGAAGAATACATAAAAAGCATCCAAATTGTTAAGGAGGAATAAAAACTATTATTATTCACAGATGACATGATACTGTACATAGAAAACCCTAAAGGCTCCATAAAAAACAACACTAGATTTAATAAATGAATTTGGCAATATAGCAAGATACAGAATTAACACTCAGAAATCAGTAGCATCTTTATACATGAATAATGCACTCTCAGAATGAGAAACAAAACCAATATATATATATATATATATATATATATATATATATATATATATATATATATATATATATATATAATTTACCATTGCAACAACAACAAAAAAAATAAGATACTTAGAAATAAAGTTAACCAAAAAGGTAAAAAGATTTGTTCTCAGAAAACTACATGATGCTGAGAAAAGAGATAGAAGATAAAACAAGTGGATTAGTAGAATCAACATCATTAAAATGTCTGAACTAACCAAAGCACTCTATAGATTCCATGCAATGCCTATTAAAATATCAATGGCACATTTCACAGACCTAGAACAAAGTCTCCAAAAATGTATATAGAAGAAAAAGACCCTGAATAGCTGCAGCAATCTTTAGAAAGAACAAAGTTGGAGAGATCACAATACCAGATATCAAGTAATACTGCAAAGCCACTGTTCTCAAAACTGGCTGGTAATGACACAAGAAAAGAACAGAAACCCCAGAAACTGACCCAAGCCATTATACTCAATTAATATTTGACAAAAAAAGGCAAAAGCATAAAATGGAGTCAAGACAGTCTCTTCAATAAATGGTGTTGGGAAAACTGAACAAGTACATGCAAAAAAAAAAAAAAAAGAAAAAAAAGAAAAGAAACTAGGCCATCAACTTACACCATACACAAGAATAAGCTCAAAATGGATAAAAGATCTAAATGTGAAACTATAAAAATCTTAGAAGAAACCATAGGCAGCAACATCTCAGACACCTCACACAGTAGCAGTCTGCTGATGGGAATGCAGACTGGTGTAGCTACTGTGGAAAACAGTATGGAGTTTCCTCAAAAAATTAAAAATGGAACTGCCATTTGACCCAGCAATTCCACTTCTAGGAATATTTCATAAGAAACCCAAAACACCGGTCAGAAAGAATGGATGTTCCCCTATGTTCATAGCAGCACAAGTTGGGGGGAAAGCTGTGGTACATCTATAGAATGGAATACTATGCAGCTGTATAAAAGAAAGATCTCTTACCCTTTGAGATAACATGGATGGACCTGGAAAACATTATGCTAAGCAAAATAAGCCAGTCAGAGAAAGGTAAGTATCACATTATCTCACTCATATGTAGAACCTAATGAACAAAATAAATGATGAACAAAATAGATCCAGAGACATATAAGCATGAAACAGACTGGTGAATCTCAGAGGGAAGGTAGGGGTGGAGGGTGATGGGGTGAGCAATTACCCAGGGAACTTACGTGGATATACTTATGTATGGCCCATGAACACGGACAATAAATTGGTGAAGGCTGGGGGAGGAATATGTGGGGAGAAGATGGTCAATAGAAAAACAAAAACAAAAACAAAGGGGCCATCAGTAATACTTTGTTCCCTGGTTGAGGTGCGTATTGGAGGCAAACTACTGATATTTTTCTCTCAAATTGTTCTCTCTCTCCTCCCTTCCCCTCTCTCTAAAAATCAATAAAAATATATTCTTGAGTGAGGATTTTATAAAAAAAAGAAGTCCCTCTGTGACCTCAACCTTCCTAAGCCTCACCTGGGAAAACAGAAGGTGTCTTTTCTCTGATCTTATTTCTGGGTAGCTAGTGTTACCAGAAAAAGCCACAAAATTGTGCCAACTGGCTCAAGTAGGAGCTTGTGACACTATTATTAGTAAACACCCCGAGTTGTTGGGAAATTCTTTTGTTCACCTCTAGTTGACTCTTCCTTAAGCTTGTCT